AAAAATCCCAGCCAATTCCTACAGAAGAGTAAGATGGAGTGGCCATCTGACACATTGCCCAAATACTCTGTTCTATACCAGGCTTGGCCTCAAAGCGAAGTGTTCATATCTGAGTAACTGAAGTCAAAGAGAACCCTATTTTCCTCCATGAAAGGAAATGCCTACTTGCACCCCATCATTCTAAAGAAGAACATGGTTCTGAGAAGACCATGGTGAAACCAGGGAAAATGGGCACAGTGTGATTAAAAGACTATATCTAATCCTGGGATGGGTGGAAGTTATCCACCACGCAAACACGGAAAGAATCCCAAAATGCTGTGCAACTCATATTATATAGATCTCTCTCTAAGGAAAATCATGGACTATGGAGGCAAAAATTTGGCATCTCAGTGATCAGCCCAAAATATACAGAACCACACAATGCAGTGTACAACCAGATATACAAAAATCCTCAAAGTCCTTTTGAATGCTGTATTCAGTTGTATTCTGTTCATGGTAGTGGGTTTTATAATGACATTCCCTGACTTTTTTCTGATAATCTGTGTGTGGTCTTTAACTTTGCCTGTCTTGCTAGTGATTTAGTTTTCACAAACCTAATTTTTTATCAGTTTATCAGATTAATTTCTGACTTCCCTGTCATTGGCTTGTGATTGATATTTGATTTTTCATATCAATTGGTGTGACTGTTTCTTTACTCCTGACCTTTAATTTTAATCTGAGCAAGAAATGGTTATAATTTTCTCTATACTTGCTGAATAAGAGATCTCTCAGAATTGTCGTGGTGCCAATATCATAAAAAGAATAGTAAACCTATGTTGTACATAGAGAAAAGTTTAGCACTCCCTGTCAAGGAGAGGTGTGCACCCAAGAAATGCCACGAATACTTAACTAGATGACACCTATTTTATTGAATTTGATAACTGTTTCCATGTTATATAAAACCAAGTAAGCTGGACTTTGAAAGATACATACTAAATGCTATCTTTCATATGTTATTCCTACATTTTGATTTTTACATATGTGTGTATATGCGTGTATTTGTGATATAGATTATGAAACTTAAAAGGAAGCCACGAGAGTGAAAAAGCTGCGTTAAAAAACTATAGCGAGGGATAAGAGTAGTAATTGAAAGCCGGTCATTGGTGGCGCACACCTTTAATCACAGCACTTGGGAGGCAGAGGCAGGCGGATCTCTGTGAGTTCGAGACCAGCCTGGGTCTACATGAGCTAGTTCCAGGACAGCCTCCAAAGTCACAGAGAAACCCTGTCTCGAACAAGGTTGTAATAGAATACAGTTGACATGGAAGTGGGCTGAGGCCTTCTAGGGGAGGAAGGAAGGGAATGGAATAGGGGAAAGGAACCAGGGAAAAAATCAGCGAAAACAAAATATGTATGAAAATGCCTAATACAATATTTTATATTGTGTGACAATTTTTAAAATGTACAAGAAAAAAATAGAATTTCAAAGCCCTTTTGACTACCAAGAAAGAGGAATTTCTAAACTACAATGCAGACACACTGGGTTCTCCTCAGAGCATGCTTTTGGCAGCCCTTATGGGCATC